GAGAGAGGGAACACAAGCAGGGGGAGCGGGAGAGGGAGAAGCAGGCTTCCCGCCGAGCAGGAGCCTGATGTGGGGCTCGATCCCAGGACCCTGGGACCATGACCTGAGCCGAAGGCAGACGCTTAACGACTGAGCCACCCAGGCACCACCACCCCTCCCTACTCTTGTAATCAACAGTTTGTTTTCCGTGTCTGAGTCTGTTTCTGTTTTGTTTGTTAGTGTGTTTTGTTTTTAATATTCCATATATGAGTAAAATCATATGGCATTTGTCTTTCTCTGACTGACTTATTTCACTTGGCATAATACCCACTAAGTCTATCCATGTTTTGCAAATGGCAGGATTTCAGCCTTCTTTATGGCTGAGTAATAGTCCATTGTATATATGGACCACATCTTCTATATCTTTTCGTCTATGAGTGGACACTTAGGTTGCTTCTGTATCTTGGCTGTTGTAAATAAGACTGCAATGAACCTAGGGGTGCAGATAATCTCTTTGAATTAGTGTTTCCATTTTCTTTGGATAAACACCTAGAGGTACATTTGCTGGAATGTACATTTGCTTGAAATACCATTACATATGGTATTTCAAGTTTTTTATTTTTTGAGGAACCTCCATACTGTTTTCCATGGTGGCTGCACCAACTTACATTTCCATCAACAGTGCACCTGGGTTCCATTTCATGCACATCCTTACCAACACTTGTTATTTCTTGGGTTTTTTTTGATGCTAGCCATTCTGACAGGTGTGAAGTAATATCTCATGGTGGTTTTGATTTGCCTTTCCCTAATGCTCAGTGATGTTGAGCATCTTTTCACATGCCTGTTGGCCATCTGTATGTCTTCTTTGGAAAAATATCTGTTTAAATACTCTGCCCATTTTTTAATCAAGTTATTTTTTCATATTAATGTGTGTAAGTCTTTTAATATATTTTTAATATTATTCCCTTATCTGATATATGATTTGCAAATATCTTCCATTCAGTAGGTTGCCTTTTTGTTTTGTTGATGGTTTCCTTCGCTGTGCAGAAGCTTTTTAGTTTCTTGTAATCCCATTTGTTTATTTTAGCTTTTGTTGCTCTTGCCTTAGTAGACTGTGCCCCCCACCCCCAAGTATTGCTAAGACTGATGCCAAAGAGCTTACTTCCTATGGTTTCTTCTAGGAGTTTTATGGTTTTACTTGTTACGTTCAAGTCTTTAATCCATTTTGAGTTAATTTTTGTGTATGGTAAAAGGTGGTGATCCAGTTTCATTCCTCTGCGTGTGGCTGTCCAGTTTTTCCAACACGATTTATTGAGCAGGCTCTCTTTTCCCCATTGAATGTTCTTGCCTCCTTTGTCATAAATTAACTGACCATATACGCATAGATGTATTTCTGGGCTTTCTATTCTATTCCACTGATCTGTGTGGCTGTTTTTATGCCAATACCATTCCATTTTCACTACTACAGCTTGGTAATATAGTTTGGAATCAGCATGATGCCTCCAGTTTTGTTCTTCTTTCTCAAGATTGCTTTGGCTCTTCAGAGTCTTGTGTTACTCCGTACAATTTTAGGATTGTTTGTTCTAGTTCTGTGAAGAGAACTATTGGTATTTTGTTAGGGATTGCACTGAATCTGTAGATTGCTTTGGGTAATATGGACATTTTAACAATATTAATTCTTCCATGCCGTGAAGATGGTATATCTTACCATTTGTTTGTGTTGCCTTCAATTTCTTTCATCAGTCTCTTATAGTTCTCAGAGTGTATGTCTTTCACCTCCTTGGTTAAATTTATTCCTGGGTTTTTTATTACTTTGATACAATTGTAAGTTGGATTGTTTTCTTTTTTTATTTATTTTTATTTTTTTAAAAAGATTTTATTTATTTGACAGAGAGA